AAGAAGTTGCAGAGAAGTTGCATCACCCCAATCCCTTGGGTTTGGGTGTCTGGTTATGGTTATTTTATGAATTATAGATAGGTTGTCATTTTCAGGGATAAATTGGAAATGGTCATAACTTTGAACAGGGAGGAAATACATGGGATGGATCACTAAACTTATTTTTAAATGAAACATCGTATACCCATAATCACACACTGGTAGAAATTTTATACTTGATACAAATTGAAGTTATAATTTTACTTTGGAACAGAATTTATAGACTGATGCAGATTTAAGGTTTTCATTGGTATAAATTTCTTATATTGATGCAGAATTTGATATCACTATTGTTACCCTTAGATAGGCACTGTGCCTATGCAATTCATTTAAGAACACAAGACTTAGATCAAGTCTTCATAGTTCCCTTCAACTCCATCAGAGACAGAAAGATTCCCAACACAAATGGTGATACCTTTGAAAACCCTCTCAAATCCATATCTGTGTTATTATTAAACATGGCAACAAACTCTCAACTTATCCAAGTGTAGACGTATCACATCTTTTAAAAAAGACATATACTTCTTACCCCTGTTTCTTTTGTGGGACAGGCCAAGTTACCATTCATTCTCAGTTCCTCAAAGTACAACATTTAGATATCAATTTTGACTTTCCCTCTTTCCTTAGCCCCATACCTAACCATCATCCATCTTGTTGGTTATCGCTCAGCATCTTTGTTCTTCAATCCCCTCCCACACACACACACACACACACACCCTGTTTCTTTGATTGCCATGAAGTTCAGCTCCACCATAAAATGTTGGACTGAACTGGTGTGTTGTGCTGTGGTAGGGGTCAAGGTTAATCTATTGCCAACCATTTCTTTATCTTGGTCTAACTGCATACAGCCACAGGATGAAGTGGACGGTAACTTCTCTGCAGTCTCAGAACTTACTAGTACTCATTATCTAAATTCCTGGCCTCGTCTACAAAAGCTTGCATGGTCTCATCCTTATCAAATTCCCAAGATGTATATATCATCAGTAGGCCAGAGTTCAAGTCTAGCCTTAGCTACTCAGTTTCTATGGGAGCTTTAAAATTAATTTCTTTCTCAGTATTTTAAAGTAAAAAGAAACGACATCAAAAATGCTTTCACCTGCAAGTTGTGATGATTGTAAAATTAAGTATCAAAGATAGGGAGAGCTCTGTGACTCCCCTTCTGTGCTACTCAAGTCAAAGAATTTATTAGTTAGTGGTTACTGAGGCAGGAAACAACTGGAATGGCCTTGTATCTCACAGCTTACAACAACAGAAGCCCACAGAAAGTATCAGCCAAGTAAGTGGACAGACAAATGGCTGATCGTGTACTTCCTGCCAGAGATTTCTGAAGAATGCTTTCTGACTCATAGCTCCTCTGTGTCTTGTAGATTTGTGCGTTGTAAAATTTTAGCTATTCTCTCACGTGATGCTGACTTATTTTCCCAGCTAGATCATAACTGTTGAGGACAAGGTTTCCATTATGTCCCTTTGTATCCCTGCATAATGCCTACAGTTAGCAAGGACTTGAAAGATCTGAGTGATAGCACACAGACCTTAGCATTATCTCTGGCACAATTCTTCAAATCATTAAGGAAGGGAGTATGTATGTGTGTGTAAGAGAGAGAGAGAGAGAGAGAGAGAGAGAGAGGGCTGGAGACCTAGAGTCACTTCTGAATTAATTGGACTCAGAAATCAAGTATCTCACCCTTATTAGCAAGTATTTCCAGATGCATCCTGCTTCTGCTATTAATTTGGGAGAAACATCTTCCTCTAACAAATCTTCATTCCACCCATCAAAATGACATCAGGAATACCATCCTAGGACAAATATGTCCCTCATTAAAATGTTCTACTTGCTATGTGCTTCATTTAGCATCTCTCGTATTCCTAGGCATCTGAAATACTTACTCCTGTAGTAACATGAGTGGCTCTTGAGTGTGAACATAGACATTTTTTTTAATTTTAAAATAAATCCATTTGGAAGCAGCACTTGACCTACTATTCGATTTGTTGTTTTTTTTTTTTTTTAACTTTTCAAGAATTAGACACTGGAAATACTCACTGGGCTTCAAGAACAAGATTAACAACTAGCAATCTATCATTTTATAAACTGGCAGTTCCACACAACTGACTCCTTCCCCTCAGCTTTTCCAACAAGAGAGGTGCTCCACACAAGGGAAACAATGCACTTCTCTTGTCATTGTTAGCAGCTTTTCATCTTGTTGCAGTGGAGGCTGGGAGAGACTGAAGAGTTAATGTTAATAAGACCAATCAGCTCATCCTGACAATGGAGGGGAAGGAGAGGGGACAGGTAGATGGCTGTATGTTTTGACATTGGACCATTAACATGCAAATCACATGCAAAATCATATGCTAACAACTTTGAGCCTTTGTTTGTGGTTGGACACTTTTCTCCCCCCAAAACGGACTAGAGCTCTGATGCAATTCTACACAGGAAGGCACTTTGTAAGACATTGCATGTGCCCAAGACAAATATGAGATGGTCTCTGGACAGTTGTCCTGTCCTGTTTGGGAGAGCAGGACGCCTTTCGATCTCACCTCATTGCCTGTTTTTCAGAAGAGATTGTGAAGCGTGACAGAGAACAGGAGTCTACATAAGGCCCAGTGATTAGGATGAGTGAGAGTTCAGGACAGCTTGCACAGACAGCGTCCTTCATGTCACCCAGAGGCTGCTGCAGAGCTCCCAGGGACGAGCAGCATTAATTATGGACTAATGATGCATTTGCATGCACATTTTTAAAAACAGTAGTAAACACAGTCCTAGTAATTGAGGATGAGTGAGGTGAGCCGCATTAAAACGCTCTGCTGATTCTCATCTCATCCTTTTTATAAGAGCTCTGTCAGCTTGGCACTCAGCAGCACACATGGGCATCCACGGAGTGTGAAGCTTTATGGTAGGTAGTTCTCTACAGATCTGGTCACTTTGGCCACCCGCTTGAAACTGGTTCCCCTCTCTGCCACTGCTCACAATCACCAACACAAGATTCTGTAAAGGGTAAAAAAATGCAATAGGCTGACTTTTGGCGTAGGTAGGGAGAGGATAGGAAACAGAAATAATCTCGATATTAGGAGATAAGAATGGCATAATGATAGAGCCATTCACATTCTAATACAGTCATGTATGAGTCTGTTTGGCTCAGAAGATCAAAGTTCAAAGGACCAGAGGGAAATCAATACAGGTAAAGAACTGGTCCCTATCCACAGAGCCAAGGAGATCTCTGAGCCACCGTGATCTCAAAGTACACAGGTGGGGCCTCTGAAGAGGGCACAGGCCAGAGCGAAGCCATGCATCCTGGACTGGAGGATTTGGCCAGCCATCACATGGAAAATAAATGGCTATGCAGAAAGCTCTTTCTGCAGAATATTTTGTATTCTGAGCTGAGAAGAAAATAGACTTTGTGAAGCAAAGGTGAATGTTGGCCCATAGCCCATTATGGCCATGTCTCTCACCCAAACTTCTTGTTCCTATAAGTCCTTGAAAGCACAACTTTAAAAAAGTAAAAAAGCTTCCTCTTGTGGAATGAGATTAAATGTCATTTAAGGAAAGAAAGCATAATTGCTCCTCTTTGTTCCCGTAACATGACTGACATCTCAATGCCAGCCTCCCTGGATGGACTAAATGCACACAGTAATGCTTAGTCTGTTTGACTATGAAGACATGACTTTAAGAAAGAAAGGATGTAACTTGGGTGGATTGGGAGGTGCTGGAGTTACATTCTATCCTGGAAAAGCTGCTTTTCCCAGGTTTTTGTAGAAACTCTCTGCTAAGAGGAAGCCTTAGAAACAACGAAAGTGCATCACAGAAGCACAGAACTACATCTCCTACCTGAGGTTGCACAGTTAGTACACACTTCATCTGGAATGGAGGTCCTGTCTCCCCATCCTGTTTTTCTCAACATACAGGTGTTTCCAGAGTCTGTCTTATACCATTCACACCACTTTTTTTTATTCTCCTCACCCTTCCTTTCTCCCTTCATTTCTTTCTTCCTTCTCTCTCTACCTTTTCCCCCTTTCTTCCTTCTTTCTTTTTTAGATAGAGGCAAACCAAGAAAGCACATTTTTCTTTGTACCAGCCAATTAACCAGAACATTTAAACATACCCAAAGAGCAATTTTTCAGAGGATGTCAGATATCAGAAGTTTTCATTGTTATTAAAGACAAAAAGGGCCAGGCAGTGGTGGTGCACACCTTTAATCTCAGCACTTGGGAGGCAGAGGCAGGTGGATTTCTGAGTTTGAGGCCAGCCTGGTCTACAGAGTGAGTTCCAGAACAGCCAGAGATATACAGAGAAACCCTGCCTCGAAAAAAAAAAAGACAAAAAGAGAGAAGGCATTTACATTTGGCATCCCTTTATTAATTACATGCCTTCTTGGTGCTGTGTCTATCAATAGTTTCTTTGAGATACGTACAAAGTTTGTTTTATTTACTAAGTCTTATTTTCCACCAGCTAGAATTGGGAGAAAGTTGGAGTTGAAGCATATGATAGAAATCTAACCCATTTTTGTTGGGAATGTCTGAAAAGCCTGGGCTTACACAGTTCATTGTCCTGGGAAGGGACCTCTTGCTTTCCATTTTGTCGAATTGTGCACACTCACAAGGCACTCTAATTGTTGGATGACTCTAGCAACCATGCCCATAGATTCCAAGGTAGAGCCAGCAACTAGGACCTTCCCTGCCACTCTCAAGATCACAGGTTTGGTGATCTGTCTCCAGGTGCCCTTGTGGGCAGTCCTTAGGAGGTCTGCTGTCTACAACAACATCTTATGGAATGGGCTCTATTCTCTGAGTGCAAAGTCCATCATTACCTTCCTTCTCAAAGTCTGGAGAATACAAGTTTTCACTTCCATTGGCCCCTACTTTTCTCTTAGCCTCTCTTCTCTAAGACCATCCAGTCAAATATACTTCAATGGGCTCAAACACAAAAGCTCATCTCCTATAGTTTACAAACACGCCTCAAACTCAGTTCATGAAACCCAGAAGAGCTCATTTACACACAGACCTGTGGTTCCTACCACATAGTTTCTGATTGAGTTGGCCTGAGTTAGGGACCCAAACCTGACATTTCTCTCACTCTGCTACACACCCATGAGGCTGTCGATTTCTCCAACACCTTTGAGAAATGCTATTTAAGTAATTTTGGCTTAAAGTAGAGAAAAACTTCCCTTTGATTTTTGTTTTCCTAAGGAAGAATACAGAGGAGAGAGAAACAAAACAAAAAACAGACTCTGGAGCAGGAGGTTAGTTGGCTGTGTCTGTTTGTCTGTTTGTTTTGCTTTTTTTAACACTTCACAGTTACACCAGCAAGGATGGGAGTGGGGGATAACAGAGGGGATTTTATTTCCAGAAGCAAAAATTCAGAGAGCTTCATTGGCAAGTTGTCATAACCATGGTGACCTTCTCTCACCAGATCTTGGCTCCTAAACCCACTTTCAGGTAGACCAGCTGGGCGAGGAGCAGTTGGGAAATTTCAAACAGGCAGGTCTGAACATTTCTTCTTTACCACCAATAATTAACTAGCCATGAGTAGAGTGCTCAGCTGTATGGGCCAAGGACATCATCCACACAAATACACATTGTGTGGCAGATCATGTCAAAACCTCATGCTAAACGTACAGGCAGAGTGAGAGAGAGGACGGGCGAACTGGATGTGTATAGTACCCTGTCTCCTGTAACCACACTTCCTGCACGTTCTCTACATTCCATGTTCATCCCCTGTATCTTTCTTCTCAACCCTCCGCCATAAAATATCACTGAACCTAGGTTCTACCTCAGTCTTTCACTGGCTTTGATCAAAGGAATAGTCTAGATTTCAGGACAAAAAATTTTCTACCTAATGTTTTCTACCCTGTTTCTTTACTCAGATTTATATCTAGGAAAACCGTCAATGAATTACTTGAGAATTATAGAAGCACACTGAAGTATGGAAAAGCTATAGAACACAGCACATCATGTTGAAAGTTTTTGCTTCTGGTAAGTCTCTGATTTTAAACCACTGCTTGAGAAATGAGGAAGGAGAGTGTGAGATAAAGGTATTTAGAAAAATCAACTCCTAGGCTGATATGTGAGGATACTCTGTGCCTAGGATTCCAGCAGAGCACTGTAGCAGCTATCGCATGGAGAATTATGTGTTCAAGGCCAGCCTGGGCTGGGTAGTGAGACTTTGTTCCCCTCCAAAATTAAATGTTAACTCCAGATCAACCTGAACTCAAAGGGATGGTTGTTTTGCTAGTATAATCTGTACTTGCTTGTGGGACCCTAGCACCCACTAAGAGGATAGGTACAGAAACGTGTTGGGAAAAGTCACCTCAAAGAATGACCTAGGGTAGATGACAAGGCTTTGAGGGGATGCCTCCAACACTGCCATCGAGAATTCATGGGAACATAAGGGATTAGGAAGCTTCCCATGCTCCCTCCTAAATCCCCAATACTGTTCACACAGAGCAACCTGACATTACTATGGCCGTGTAACTCTCAAATTCAAGGCCTTCCTAGCCATCACTCATCCATTCGCTCAGCTGGTGTATTCCTGGATTATTTCACCTTGCTATCCAGCACTCTCAGAAACTATCACAGTGGTGTCTGTAAAACGTTCATGGACAAGAAGCCCCAGGAAGCTCTGAGGAGACTCAGTTTCCCTGAGTAACCTGGAGGAGACAGAGTGAGTATCTATTCAAGAGGAAACAACATGACATGTATTAACAGTTAATAAAAGTCCCTCACAAATGTTAAAAAAAAAATCTACTCAGAAAATACAGGTTCAAAAGAAAATGCACACCCAGGGTCCTTTCTTCTCACCCCACCCCCCAGTATAATTTCCATTCCTGTGAGTCACCATCCTCTGCACCTGTGCTGTTGTGCCCACTCCCTTGTCTCCCCTGTCTCCCCTGTCTCTATGCATTTCCACTGGGGAAGACTGCTCAAGGAGAAATCGAAGCTTGGTAGGCTGCCGAGTGTGTTTCCTTGTTCCTATTTTGTTCCTTGTTCCTGTTTTTATTCCTGTTCCTGTCTTGTTCCTGTTTTGTGGGGAGTATAAAAGGGAGCTATGCAGTTGAAAATAGAGCATTTGGTCTTTACCAGATGACTCCTTGTCTTTCTTTCTCTCGCCTTCAGCCCTCCACCGATCCAAGGAACTCAGTCAGCTATGCTGGCGTAGCTGACACATTCCCAGTACAACTTTTCCCTCCCCATGATATCTGTGATGCTGTACTCCTTCAAGTGTAAGAATCGAGAGCTGGATACTTTAGCTATCTATTTGTTAGTTAAGATTCTAACCCAAAACACTGAGCTGTGGGTTCTGGGAGTAGTTTCCCACGGGGCTGTCACGGCGTGTTTAACCTAAAGCAGTGATGGCCAGGCTTACAGCTCTGAAGGTTCCACGGCTGTCGGCTGCATCTTCATTCTGTTTTGGATCATCTCCAATTTCCCCGAGAAACACAGGTGGTCTTTTGAATAAACAGAAGTAACATATTGAGCTCCATAAGCCTTGCGTTGATCTGCGTTTCTCTCAGTCACAGCTGCTGCCTGCACAGTTGGAATAATGCAGAGCCATGAGGTGGCTACTTAGTGAACTGGCAGCTCCTATTCAGGGAGTAAATCCTTAGAAAAGCATCTTCAGGTACAGGCAGAACAGGAAATCACTAGTGGTACTCCACGGGGGTCCGTACACTTTGCATTATCTGTGGGAGGCAAATGAAAACATGTGTTTAGGAATCCATTGAAGAATTTGATGGTATTCATCCTACTTCAGAGGACTCCCAAGCAGAAGGAATTTCATTCTGTGTGAAATAATTGGGCGAGGCGGCCTTGAACAAGCATCCCCTGTATTTCTGGTGTTTAACAGAACTCAAGTGCGAGCTGCAAAGGAAATATTTTACTACCATTCATCCATCGAAGACTAAGTATGTTTTTGGTATTTGCAGAACTATCTAGAGTCCATTCTACTATGATACAGGCACCATTGTACAAGGATTCAAATCACGCAAGCAGAATCAACAACGGAGACAGGACAATAACGTTCCTATCACAAAGCAGCGGTGATGCCCCAGTATGGCAAGCTGGGAATCTCCTTTGCTGTAATTCCTCTCCGAACTTCATTATGGAGGCTCAAGAGCCCCACTTACTTAACTCAATGTACGATCTGCAGCAACTCAAGGAAGCGTGTGAACAGACTGCCAAGTGTTGTCTCAGGGAAGATGGGGTTGCGGGAGACTTCTCACTGGGAAAAGAAGACATTTTTGATAATACCCAGGTATACTTTATTTCAGGAGGTTAATGGTGACACGGAGTCTAAAGTGAGTGTTCTGTTTGAAATGACAGACAATATAAAATAAAATCTGCACGCTTCTCACCGCACTCACATGAATGATATAAAAGAGATAAATCAGCTAATATACTCTTGCACTTGAAAAGTCAAAGAAGAGAATTTCCATAAACCTCAAAATGAGAACGGTAGTAGACATGAGCTCTCTTTACGGATTATATTGCCATGCATGTATATGTTAATTGTAGATCGACACAGCCATGATGCTGTACGTTTATGCGTTTGCAGAAAAAGACCTTATCAAATATACCATGTGGTTTAGCCTTAACTTGAGTCTCTTGAACTTGAAATCTGAGTTTTGAGTTGAAATTTCAGGGAGTGATTTCCCACAAAGAACACTCAAATGCATGATGAGCAAACAAGACTTTTCCAGTAGTGAACTAAGAACATAAAGACACCAAGGATGTAGGAACCAGGCCTGCGCGGGGGTTTGAATCAGAAGACTACAGTTAACGGAGCAATATAATTGGATTTTTGGTACAAATGTTTAGTATCTGAGAGTATAATAAGGGAAGATGGAAATGTTTGCTTGTTCTTTGCCAAACAGGCACACACATGAAGACTTTAGGCAGTCGCCTTTCTTATCCCTTGCTGTGGTACTGACTAGACACGGGCATGAGTACTGCCCCACTCTCCACTGCCTAGAGCTCACACACATACCACAACTGAACAACGAAGTTTTAGCCCAAAGGGTTCATTAGATACATGCATATTTGGAAAGACAACAATAGCTTGTAAAACAAGAGTGGCCGTTAAAAACGAGTCAATATCTTTAGTATGAAAAAAGTAATTACTGGGGGAAAAAACCCTCAAAGGTTTACAAGCAAGCCATCATGAATGGTCACTGTGTTGGAGGATTCGCCTTTTCAAAATGATTCTTGGAGGCATGGTTGGCATCACAGAAGGTCTTCTTGGAAGACCTCAGAGAAATACTGATGAGTGATGCCTGACACATGGGTGTTAGAGTTTCTCAGACTAACATCAAGTGAGAGAAGAGAGGAATCAGGTTAGGAATATACAAAGGATTAGAGGAGGAGCTGCAGCAGCAAGGGCTGCATAGCTGAGGACCTGAAGTAAAAGAGTCTGGAAGCACTGGGCAGCCAAAGAAAAGCCAGATAAAGAGAAGCCAAAATTGGCAGGAGGGAGCCCAGGGAATGACAACCTCAGGTAGATCTCTTTAAAGTTCAGGTACCGTTTTTTCTTTTTTTTTTTTTTTTTTTTGGATATAGATGAAGATATTAATTTGAATTATGTTTTTGTGACATTATCTACAATGGTAGAAGTTGTGAGAAAAGCAATATATAGCTGGAGATCATGTAGATCAGAGTGACAGAAAAAAAATTAAGTAAAACAGAACATGAAGCAGTCAATCAAAAAACTGTGAGTAAAAAGAAACACGAGGTGAGAAGAAATTACTAGAGAAAGTCCAACAAGGCAATAATCAGGCTGAGCAAATGGACCAAACTCAGAGGGCTAAGGAGAGAGAGTCACAGAGGATTTAGTAAACACATCAGTCCTCAGGAATCGCCATGATTAAGATCAAGTAATCAACCGACAAACAAAATTAGCAAAATCACTGCTATTAACATCAGTACGCATAAATAAGAGACAACAGATTTAGACTCACAAAAACTGCAGATGTTTGATCTGTGGGATACATGTCATGGCTACATGAAATGATTTTTAAATGGAAAATATTCAATATAAGGCGAAACATTCATTAAGAAATTATTGAGAATAGGAAAAATGCGGAGGGAACAGGCTTTTAGAAATGAAAAGCCATCTGTAGAAATCAAAAATTCTATGGATGGGTTCAATGCCAGTTTGACACAGTAGCCAGAGGACTGGAGAGGGAATGTGTATCCGGAAGTTACTCTCAGTACAGCAGGAAGGACTGAGGGGATAGGAGAAGATAACAGAGGAAGGATTAGTATGGTCAGCATCGAAACCCCTACAGATCACAGCCTCTGAAACTTTTTCCACTTGTGACACTTTTTGCTCAAATGAACCCCAAGGGTACAGGCATACGAAATAGGTATATATATCAAGTCTCTTGTTACAAGTCATCAAGAAATGTATTATAAAACAATCCTTTAACAGGTACAACATATTGTCACTTACGAAAGACGAAAGCAAATTCACACACTGACAAAGTGGATGTGCTTGTCTTTCTAATGTAACATAAGCCAAATATACATTAATCTGATTAGTCACCTGCTGAGGGGTGATAGGAAAATATTCAAAGGTTTTGCTTTCCACAATTAAACCATGATGATTCTATAGGAGCAGAAAACTTTGTATGAACAGTAAAAACACTGTAGTCCACCCCCGCCCCAGACTTTGGTTTTTCAAGACAGAGTTTCTCTGTCTTGGCTGTTTTGGAACTTGCCTTGTAGACCAGGCTGGCCTCAAACTCACAAAGATCCACCTGCCTCTGCCTCCTGAGTACTAAAAGTAAAGGCTCATGTCACCACACCAGGCTCAGCACTGAAATTTTTAACTGTTTAATAATGCACAGTAGTCTAAAATTTCAGTCGGGGTGTTTCTGGTGGTGTTCATTGGTGATGCATGGTGAGACAGTGTGCACAGTACAAAGTGTGCATGTTGCGAGCTCACAATGGCTGCAGTGCATGTACCATGTCACGCATGGTGCTCCACTGCTTCCTTGCTTGTGGAGACACAGCACGCACATTTTGCACTCTGCATGCTATCGCTACCATACCACACAGCAGCACGATGCCAGGAACACCCCACAGTGACTCCTCACTGGATTGTTTGTTTATTTCCCATCATTGCACATTCAGGCGCCTCTTACTGTTGCCAATGCAACATGAGACCCACATTTGGCTACAGGATCCCAGATGGAGTCACTACACACAAGTTAAGAAGCTTTGATGTTGTGTACATGAAAGAAATAGAAGAAACATACTATTTAGTCTCATGGAAAAGATAAAATCAAATCACTGATTTGGATATTCAGGAAGCACAACTTGTTGCCAACAATAAATAAAATAAAATTCTCTAGCATATACATTAGTATAACTACATGGTGCCACTGACAGACAGATAGACACATACACACACACATACATGTCAATTGAATATATATATATTCATATATACATATATACATATATACATATATACATATATACATATATACATTATCTCAGTGGCATCCTACACACACACACGTACACACACACACACACACACATATATATATATATATATCAGTTGCATCATATATATACATACATATACATGTCAGTGGCATCATTTATGTATACACACATATACATATACACACACACATATATATATACATATACACACACA